TCGGTTAATTGTAATTTAATGGTTACAATCACTTAATAAAATTTTTTTACATATTACAAATTTTATTACATAAAATCTATCTGCCTAGCTTTAATATTATTGAATTATTAGATACATTTTAATCAATCTATATTGAAAACATGTAACTGTTATATATAATTAATAACTTTTATCTAAATTGTGACAAGATGATTTGTGTGTGCTCTATTACATTTTTTTGTGATGTAAACATTTTTTATAAAAAATAATAAATTTGTATTTGCATTAAAATGAAATGACAAAACTTTAAAAATAAGTATAAATACGCGATAACCATTATGTACACGTGACTTTTATATACGTTTACCGTGGCCATTCATTTCGAATATAGAAAAAAAGTTTATTTTGACTAGTAAGTTTGCAAAAACTCTATTTTGAGATACAGGAGTAAATGCTACACCTATGAGCTTATTATTTAATAGTCACAAAACTAGAAGATATCTCGGAAGATATTTAAAAGTCACAAGAATTTTTTGATAAATTAGTATTGCATATACTTTAGTATTGCATATAAGTTTATCCATAAACAATTCAAAAAAAGTAAACACTTTACAACAGTAAACGATATTTGGAAGCTCTACGAAACCATATTTTCGAATCCTAATGATTTCATTAATGATTGCGTACTACTAGCATTATCACTATCACTACTACACGTGCTTGGAATTAGCTACGATTGCATATAATTAACCTAGTTTCTAAACTAGTCATCAAACGAGTCTTGCCGTACGAAGGAGGATGTCACAAAGCGTGAAAAGTTTCCGATCTTAATGCACTTGCGCTTTTTTATGTTAACACAGGATGGAAACATCATAATTACACCGTTTGTTTATGTTTAATGATATGTCATTACGTTTATAATAATTAAGCTCTCAGTGGTAATAAACGGATAAACGCAAGAATGACGCAAGTACGATAACGCGATACTACGCATATTTAATCCACTCTAATTTCGTAATATTATAGTCCAGTAATATTTTCAGCTGCGTTAGCGAAATACTGTAATGGCCGATCCGCATTTTATCGCTTTTACGTACCGAACTGGTGAAACGCAAAAGGATTTATCGCATCCCCATCGTAATTATTCCAATAAATGCACAAACTGTATCATTTTTTACTCTTTTATTTCCTCTTTACATCCGAGAAACGCTATATTATATAACGTCAAGAGTATATCTTTTACGACCACGCCTATAAAAATATCTATTGACTGCAGAGATAAGAGTAATCGATAAAAACCTACAACGCGTATCATTTCATCGATGCTTGTCCTAACATTCTTGAAATTTTTTCTTTTCACAACGATAGAACTGGATTCCCAATCCTTGAGATCAATAACAATTTGTTTTGAATTAAGTAAAAGATATATTTAAGTATGGCGACAGAGACTACATTAGCAACTCGGCTTGAGCCAACATGATACGTGATATGCTTTTCTTAACGAGTGCCAGTTTTACTCGGTATCATCAGACATAGGATAGCAGAAGATGTCAAGATGACAAGAACAACCGGTGTAAGCGATACTCGACGTCGTTGTGATTGTCAGGTGTCGACTACTCCGTTGTCAAGATTGCGGTGTTGCTCTGTGTATATAATTGCAAGAGTTGATACGATAAAAATGTGATTCACAGTACGGTGGGTTTATAAAACAATTAGCAATTCTAATCGAAATAATATCTGAAACCATTTCTCTACAAACAATAAAATTTTAGAAACAATATATTCTATGTTATTATTTATAACGAACAAAATAAATATTTTCTTATATAACATCGCCTTTATTTTTATCCGAATCATTGTCCTCTTTCACACGATTAACTTAACAGCGGTCAAAGAATCGTTGGAATGAAAAATACCGCTTGATTTACGACTTGCGATATATTAGCCGATTCGCAAATCAGCGTTTCTCCCTCGTTGCCATTATTTTACGCATAACTTTACGCGTATCGATCTGGCAAAAGAAAAGTACCACGTCGCAAGGTACCATAATACTTGAAGAGGAATTCAGGAGCCAATTATTGCGCCACAGATACCGGTCGCATGCGACGAAAAGTGAAAACGACTCGACGATCCGTGTTTCGCGTAACGTGAATTAGCGATAACGCTGCGAGTCGCCACGTAACGCCCGGCCATCGGCTGGAGAACAGAGAGAAAGAAAGGACGTTCGCCTTTTTTCATAAATCTGAATCGCAATTAAAGGAGCGCGACAGCGTTTTTACATTGCGATCGACACATTCCTGTGACTTTTGCGGACAAAAGAAAAAGGTATTTATCGTCAATTTTGCACCAGACTAATGAATCGCCATCGCGACACGACGCTCTGCAACGCTATGCGATTTCGAAATGCTCGTTATGCAAAGCATGCAAAATTTTGCGCAATTAACGAAAATGTCGCGCGAAATACATCGTTTTAATGTCGACAATAAATATGAGATCATTGTCAGGATTTATTATTTAGAATTTATCGTGTGGTATATTCGATGGCGCCGCACCTCGTCATCTCTACCGCCGGCGCTGTGGGGAACATGATCGAGCACCGACAAACAGGCCAACACGCCCGTGGTGGCACACGATAACCTTTTTTCTGACATTTCTACCTCATAGGTTGGTTTATTCGAAAGGTTAAACCGTTGCGCTCTCGAATATCTAGCGCGGTCGCGGGAAAGAGAAAGAAAGCACAGAAGAAAGAGAGAAACGTCTGCAACGGTTCTGGCACTCTTCATGCCGAGTAATCTCCTCTTCCTGTCGAAGGTCGGGCGCAAGTCAAATGCCCGTTCGCCGAACCGTGTCGTGGGTTCGGAGGAACGTCTTCGCCGGAGTGCGTATCGGGTAGTTGGTCGACCGCTCGTGCGTTGCAGGAGGCAGGTAGTCACCCAATCAGAGCGAGAAGGAAACAAAAGAAAGGTGAAAAGAGTTATCGCCCCGTGAGATCGAGCCTACATCCTGTATTCCGACTGGAAAACCGGCCAGAACTTTGGCCCGGCGTGCAGTTATTATCAGTCGATTGTTCGGACTTCGTTCTCTCTTCACCTCCAGGTCTTCTGGCCGGCGCTCGTGTTCCTCCGTTCTCGCGCGAATCGTTTCAGATTCTCGATCTCTCAGTCCCCCGTGTGCTTCGTGGCCCGAAAAATCATGGATCGATGAATAAAGAGGCGCCGGGTCACAGAAACGCGCTTCGCCACCATCATCATTCCTCGAAAGAACTCCTCTTGTTCTGCTTTTCATACAATTACTTCGCGCCGCGCGAAATCGTCCTTGCCCGACTTCTCGCCTTTCAAGAATGCGTTCGAGAACCGTCGCGCCCGTCGCAATTTAATAACGTATCCTCGCATGCATCAACGAGCGTGACTTTTCTACGCGTTCTCGCGAAAGCGAGATATATGGCTTTGCGACCTTACCTTGCACGTAGCACGTAGCACGTAGTTCCCTCGCGAGACGCCGGTCTCTCGCTGCGGATCAACTCTCGATGCCGATCCCGCGCGAACTGATGGTTATATACAATGCGACGACGTAAATCTTACATGTTCGCGTATGCCTCGATGTCGGAAGGTCTGGAGAGGATTGCTCGTAACGCGTCTCCACGTCATTTAAGAGCTGCACGCTGCACGTAATTCAGGGAAAGTCACACGCTCGTAAATCAGTCTGGGTACGGGTACCGTTAGATTTGCAATGCTAATCTTGTAGTAATGTATGCGATTCGCTTGAGCGAACGAACGAGAAAATAATTAACAACCCCGGGTAATCCGAGTTCGCCGAACTATCAGTGGTGGATACCGCAATCCTTGGGGGGTTTATGAGTTCGCGACATTAGCGGAGACCTTAACAAAAACGGTGTCTCTTTCGTTCGGTATCTCGTTAGTCCTCTTCCTTTGATTTCCATATCGATGATAGACAGCGTTTTACAACTCTACTTTATGGGTACGTGAATGCAGTTATTAAATTTTCTAATGACATAATTCACGTTGCGATGCTTACGGTTATAAGTGTTACATGTGTCTACATCGAGAGATTTTATATGGCTTGGATAATACGAAGCGCAAATGGATTGTAAACTAGCCGTATAGCGTATAGAAATTATAATAAATACCAGAAGTATAAATATAATTTGAATAAAATAAAATATTTTATGCATTAAATATACAGGGCGATTAATACGTCTGCATCGTTCTCTTTGATATCGTACTTCGATGTACCGTTCTACCAATTATTTTTGTTGTTCTCATTTGAAAGAAATGATAATTACGGAAAATTATATGGAAGCTATCTATGTCAAGGGAGCGAGGCAACAAGTCACAAATTATGTTGGCGGTACGAACGATTTCAGATTGTGCGTGGTTGTCGTTGATTGATATGCGTAAGAGACGCTCCACGGGTTTTCGAGATCAATTGCGCGGAGCTTCGGATTTCCGGACGATCTATCGATTCTCACAAATTGTACCGATCACGCAAAATAAGGCGTACTCACAGTTACTTCTAATTCATTAATCGTGGGATAAGCGTGATGCATAGGCATATGGGTTATAATGATGATACTGTATCGGAGGCGGCTATTTACTATTCAATTACTTTGCAATTATGGGATCACGTGTGCCCGTATTTCTAAATTACGCGATGCCATTTCAGCAACAAAAGCTTTAACCCACTCAAGACCTTTAATAATCGATAATCACAAAATGATCAGCATGGAAAAAAATCACGGACTCATGTCTCCAAAGATTAATAAATTTTGCCAAAAAAAAAAAATAAATATGATGGTAATATTAATGACGATCGTTACTATTAATGATCTCGAGAAATTAAAATAAGAAGTTTGGTTTATGCTCAACCACTGGTTAATTGATTGGTTAATTGACTATGACAGTAATCAATAATAGTCAGTCAATAAATGATAAATGTGACACGTAATTGAGGGCAAATGACGTTGAGTACATATGGAAATATCGTGATGTAATTAAACTTACCCTTGATGGGAGTGTGGAGGTGCGGGTCTCGGTGGAGGCGGCAAGGACTTTCTACCGGACGTATTCTGCCGCGGTGCTAAAGGCGGTGGAGGAGAACTAGGAGAATCCGTGCTGTATCTCTCCGTCAGACATTGAGATTTTTGTTTAGGTACATCAACGTACTTCGGTGATAGCGCGTAGTAAGCGTGCGTGGTCCTTTGCGTCACGTCGCTAGAACGTTGATGGTGATTAGGAACGTATTTCGGGGGCTCGTGATACTTCTGCGGGCTTGATTCCGATGGGAATAGCTTCGAGCTGGCTTCGTATCCCGTTTTCACCGGGCTACCGATGGAGAAGCTGTGATTTCCGCTCTTCAGATATTTGGAAGGACTCTTCGCAATGTCCGTCACCGGCAGATAATTCGGTCTTGCGGATCGATTTGTAGCATTTTTATCTGTGTTTTTAGGCACTTGAGGTTGCGGTCTCTGACCTGAAGAAGATTCCAATCTCTGGCCGGAATCATTTCTCAACAAACCGGACGCGTCGACGCGCGTGCCGTCGACTCGCATCGATTCCTGTCGAATAATCCTCGGCTCCACCGGAACTTGCGGGGCGGGTCTCTGATTCCCGGAATCACTGTATCTTTGCGATATGAGATCAGGCAGTTGCGCCGGAGGTCTGATTGAAAAAGATCTCTCCTCGGATATTCTCCTCGTCGGCGCTATCCTTCCGTTCACCATAAGCTTCTGTGTAGAAGGATATCTCAAACTGGAACGTCCCGTGGCGACCATCCTGTGCGTCGCGAAACCGGCCGACACACCGTTCTCCAGCACCATTTCGGAATCCACATGTTTCAACGCTGTGGCGGATCTCACAAATTGGTGCTGTTCCTGTTCTTGGGCGTCTATTTTTGTTGAATTTGGCGAGGATTTGCCGGTCGACTTATCGTGATCTCTCTTACCGCTGTGTTTCGATCTTTTCATGGAATGCCTTTCCGACTTGTGTCGTTCGCATGACCTTTCACGACTGATCTTTGCCGTTTCCTCCATCTGGTGGTGAACGTTGTTAGATTTACGTTGAGTCTCCGTGAAACAGTCGTCGCTGAGCTCAGGTGGGGGCGGTAATGGATCGTCGCAATCGTGGACCTCGCTCTCCGTGACCGTCGGTGGTGACGGCGGTGGCAAGTCAGGACTGGGCATGCGTTCGTTGTAAACGTTTCTCAGGTGTGGCTTTTTAGGTGGTCTCTCGGGTACCCAATCGTCTATCGATATGGCTGATCCAACGATCACGGGTCCCAATAAATCCGTGGAGAGACTACTACAACTATTGCTGTGCTGATGCTTAGGACTTGGTAAATCGCCGTTTCCTTGATTCTGACTTCTGTTAATATTTTCCCTCCATGTACCACTAGCATAATCTGATGCTGAACTAGCTCTTCGAGATGAAGATGGTCTCGGTCGTGGAGGAGGCTGCGGCGGTGGACTCTGAGGACTCTGAGGGCTCTGAGGGCTTTGAGAAGTTGGCACAGAACCTTGCGCTAGTTGAGGTTCCGATCGCCAAGATGCTTGATGATGTCTTTCGTAATAAGACAATAACGCTTTCTTTTGGATAGCTTTCAGAGTAGGGTCAGACACTCTATGACGTTTCTCGGGATCCAAATAAGTGTAACGCATTTGTTGCTGCTGTTGCTGTTTTTCCAATTCATTTATACGTTCAGCTACCGAAAGTTGTGGTTGCGACGGTGAACTTAAAGTCATTCTGGAAAAAGAAATGTTACATATAATATAGTTTATGATTAAATTTGATATAAAAATGTATAATAATTATAGAAAAATGTATCAATTCTTACCTTGAAGATTGCGTGGATTCTTGCAGTTGTGTTGTACTGACAGGATAAAGTTTTCGTTTACTGCGTTCACGATCCAAATACAACACGCTTTCCGAATGATGCCGTTGAGGAGTCTGCACTCTCGCGCTGTGAGCGATCAGTTGCTTGCTGCATTGAATTCCATTACTTTGACTTACGTCGGACATCGACCCATGTATAGGATTCCAATTTTCAGTACTTTGCGGACTAGCCGCTCCTTGCTGACGCGTAGGACTTTGTGGCATAGGTTGAGTATATTTGTCGTTCTCAAGTCTACTTGAATTGTCCCACTGATTCGTTTGTTGTCTGTCATTTAGCGAATCCTCATCGATGTTGGATTCTTGCCATTTGCTTTCTCGAATCGCCGATGTTTGGCAAATGTCACTAATCGAGGCAGACGACGTACAATGGCTGATTACCGCTGGCAAACTAGGTCTACCTTGTCCTTGCTTGTTTCGATCATTCATCGAAGACTGCCATTTGTCAAGACTGTGCCTTCCTTTCGCCGGCGGGCCTATCCCACTTGTACTGACGTCGCTCATGGAACTCTGCCACTTCTCGTGACAACCGTTGTTAGATTTTAAAATTCCTCCGTTTACGCTACTAACATCCGACATGGATCCATGCCATCGATCTGATGTCCCTTGGCGAGGAGGCATACCACTTGATACGCTGACGTCCGACATGGAGCCATGCCACTTTAAAGTCTCGCTACTAGAGGCGCTACCACTAGATGTAGTTACTACGCTGTCTCTGCCCTCTCGGGATGTATCTTCCCAAGACGCCGCGGGTCTTTGTGCTACCGCCTCGCTATCTCTTCTCAATCTGATAAGAGAAGCAATCTCTCATTACAAAGACATAGCATGATATTGGATGTTAACAAGACAATACATGAAAGTATTCTCACCTATCGAGAAACGGCGTATTTGTCGTAGAATCTACGCTAGATACGTAACTGTGGTATCCCTCGGATTGCGCGTAGCTGGCTTGTTGAGAATGTTGCACCCTCGTATATTCTTCAAGACCCGCTTGCGTTAAGGTAGTTTCGCGATAGAGGTCCACCTAATGAATCACGAAACATGATAAAATCGAAATCACAATAAGAAAAAAACAATATTCACACCTATGCGGTATATATTTTTTCACATTGCATAGGGGGAATTCTAGGAATATGTGTATATTTATATATGTATATTTATATATGTGACTATATTTTCTTACCTGAGACACCTGAGGGTCCTGGTAGCCTCTTACATAAGCCTCCAAATCAACGTGATTCAGTGTCTGAGATTGCTGTTCCCGTTCCGGTGGCGATGGAACTACGTATTCCGCATCTCCCAAAGCTTTACCTTCGCGATCCACGCGCGGCCACAACCTCGGCTCTTCTTCAACGTTACTTCTGTTGCGTGACTCGTAAGTCTCGGCTGGGATCTTTTCGCAACGCTCCATTACCGTCTTCAACTGCAATATTCAATTTTTGCAGTGTAATAGAAAATCACAAACATACTTAGAAAGTGGCGCTTGTCAAATTTTTTAAATTTTTATTTCTAAGTTTTACTCACATCCATAACATCGGTAAACTTGAAGGACGACACGCGATTAATGAAATATATAAATCCTTTAAGAGTCGATAAATATTTGCGTACTCGACAACGATGCATTTATCTGCATCTGCGTTATGCGTATAATGATTAGCTTTCAACTAAGGTATTCTGTGACTCACGATCTTATACGTAATTCGCTCTCGCATTTCCGCGATGAAAAAAAGAGTAAAAAGGTCTCGATCTTAAAATACATCAGCAGAGAACTAATTGCGTGCGTTCTAAAATAGAAATTGCGCCAGTCTAATAAAACTTCATGGCCAGCAAAAAAGGGAACGTAGGCTAAGTTTAGCATCCTTCTCTGTTTTTTAACTCGTCGTCTTCTCCGCGCTTGAAACCGGAGGGCTGCTGGTACGTACCGGAATTTACGACTCGATGTGGGTCGGACCATCGAAATATCACGGCCTACTTCTGAGAAAGCCAGTAGCACGATGGCGATTATGTCACCGAGAGAAAGGAGGGTGCGGGTGTGGGAGATTAATTGCGTACGCTTGTTTTAGGGCGCAGCACGATATATACATCAAGGTCTTGCCCCGCGGTGATCCCGATTCTTAACATGGCACGCTCGCCCGGATAAGCCCCTTTAATTGCTAAACATTGTGGATAGCGACGTGAAACTTTGTAATTCGTTTGAAAGCATGAGGAAAGTATCCCGATAAGCTCCGTTACCTCGTGACTTGTTTATCCCGCCGGGATACTTTGGTGTAAACGAGATTCGATTTTGCAACCGGCAAGACAATCGAGAACGACTGACACGGCGAATTCTAAGCTATAGGAGCAAAAATTTCTATAAAGAAATCGGCTTTGATGCAAATCGCGTGCATGACACGAAGGTAAAAATTTTATAAATGTAATTTGATCCATTAAAAGCTATAATAAGAACTTCTTACTTGTCATTATATTATATTACACGCGTTATCCAATCCTACTAATCGTCGTGATTATTCTTGCAAAACTTATTCTCTTGGCGCGTAGCGAAAGGGCATTAATGTTTAACAGTAAAACCTAAAGGTAATAGAAATTGAAATCGCGCGTGCTTGTATGCGATATCTTTTACGTATCTAATTAATAGTAAATCACGACATTACGCCGCTATATAAACGCTCGGCCTACGTTCGGATTGTATAAGCCGTGCGGCGTAACGACCGTTTTGCGGGAAACGAAGAGGGCTTTATAAGTTACCTGCTGCGTGAACGCGGGATTGGGCCTCTTCGTGTGTGGTCTGGTGTACTGGGCCGGCTTCTCCTTCGGATAGTTGGTGTGATCGGTCCAGGACTTGGAGCGGTGAGAACCGCTGTGTCCCGAGCTGTGGATCTCCTCGTCGGAGTGTCGTTCGGGCGCGCTCGGCCACGAAGGATACTTCTCGTGTCCCGGGCCGTAACACACGCCCTTGAGGCTGGAGGCATCCCTAACTGGCGGCGTCGGTGGTGGCGAAGCTTCGTCTCTCTCATTAAGAGGGAGCGTGAAGCTGTTGAATCCGAGGTTCTCGCTGTATCTAATGGGACAGACGGGCATGGAAACGTCGCGGTTAAAGTGGCTTGTACACATTGCGCTCCGCGATAGAACGCGCGGGGAGAACAGAAATAGCACGCGTGACGCAACGTCCTCCCTACGTGGAAACAATTACGCGCGGACACGAAATCATCTGTGTTTATTAGCGCCTCGCCCAATGAATCACTCGTAATACGGCACCTCTCGACCGCGGTGCTGCTTCTGCGCGCGGTGTCATTGAACCATTTTATTACCAGGATGCGTGCGGACTGCATAATTTATGATACTGTCAACGCTGTTAACTTGCGTGGTAATCGGAATGTTTCCGGTGATGTTACCTTCCATGATTATTATTTTTGCAACAATTAAAAAAAAAACTACAGATACATATCTTTTCACTCAAATTCACGTTGACAAGTTTGCAACAGATATTATGTGACGGAATTATCTTGTGATTACAGTATTCGATTAAGAATCATTTTATATCGATAGTTTATTTCATCAGATTGCCGGATAATCCTCGCTCGCGGTAATTCGCGTCGAAAAGAGCAGACGAGACAGAAAGGGAGAACGAAAGCAGAAAAAGACCAGAAAAAGAACGTTCGCGTGAGCAAACGTCGAGAAAAAAAAGTGCGCTTATAATCGCGAGCACGTACCCGCAGTCGTTCTTATAGCCCGGAGTATTCTTCTTGTGACCGTCGTTGTAACTGGTAACCGCGGTGGTCTTCTTGCCGCCGTTGCCACCCTCGTGATCGTTTTCCGTGCTGGATCTCCGTCCGTCGTTTCTGCGACGGTAATATTCGTTAGGAGCCACCGTTCGAGGTGGACTCTGCTTAAGGCCATAGCTTTCCTGAGAATACGACGTGGCACTCTTGAAATTGGTAGCCTCGCTCCCGTGGCTGTGGCTTGCGTATTTGTAGGACCCCGGGGGACAGGAAGGTGGGCCTGGGGCCTCATCCTGAACGCGATATCCTGGCGGCGACGGTTGCAACTCCGTCATCGTGTAACCGACGTCCCCGCCATCCGGGATACACCTAAGTGAGCAGAAAATTAAAAGCATGAGCTTCGACGTTCCCCCGAGATAAAATCTCACGATTAGTCCGTCGCATAGAGTAGACTAAGCGATTGCGCGTAAATATAACAGAATCGGGCGCAGGGTTTTCACATATTTATGAGATAGCACGCGTTACATGCAAATTAAATCTTACGTGAATATTTTATCAATCGAACGATTTAATCACCCATATTTCCAATAAATCATAACGCCTCGTGCAATAACTTCTCTCTTTTGATTCTAAAATTTACCCGCGTACAGCGTTGACGCACTTACATTTCGAAACAAGAACATAGAAAAAGCATGCCTATATTCTAGACAAAATGTAAATGTAATGTGATTAGCGTGCGGCGAATATATTTCTTTGCGGCTAATTGAGCTGATGGAAATTATACCGGTTTTAGCCCTTGCTTTAAACGCTGGGAACTCAATGTGAATTTTTCGACATCGTGTGATACATCGTCGTGGACGTTTGTTAGCAATGTAAACGATCACGATTAACATAGATGTATGAGCGGCCTCATACCAATCTTACTTTGTTCGCGGGGAAAATTACATTATCTAGTAGTGAATACGAGCTTGTAAAGCTGGATGCTGGATGTGTCGGTTACGAGATAAAATCCGAGGAAAACGTCTTACGACTGGTTATTTAACCTTTGGGCGAGTTTAAAGACACGTGTACGTGCAGTTAACTCTCGGGCGACAGAGGAGTAATGAGTCGCGTTAATAGAGGCACACTCAGCGGTGTGATTGATGAAACTGATAGATAACGCTATTTCCGAGTCAGGGGTCTCCGGAGCGCGTGAATGATGACAGCTTTTAACGAGGAACACGGATGCTAAAAAATAAAATAGAAATGATTGCATATCTCCAACGGAAGATATTGCCGCGTACGTTCGTTTAACTTTTCACCGAGCAGGTTTTTATTTGTTTCACGATTAATTTAAATCGTCATGGATTAATCATAAATTACGCGCAGAGAGCACTTTGACTCATTTAAATTGTAAAACGGCTATGAATATCTTTCCCCGAGACGATCGCGACAACGTTTTACAAAAACAACAAATTTAACAGCGTACTTTTAAATTAACATTAAAAACATGGGTGGTCAGTATTAATTAGCAATAAATATAAAATTTTTATTTGATAAGCAACTAATGAAATTATCGTTGATGAAATTTCATTTATCAACTCAAAATAAAAAAATTATTCAAAAATAAATCGATCAAGTTAGAACTTTTTGGGATCTAAAGACTATGATTTTGTGATATATTCTTTATAACGTAATTAATTCAATTTCAAGACAATGATCGACAACATTACTTATCACTGTCTGTAAAGTTGACTGTTATTGCATCTTATCATCGGAACATTTTTGCAAACGTTATTTTTACATAGTATTTTACGTCACGAGAAGCATGAGAAAAAAGATACGAGCGGCGAGCAAGAAAACGGTCTTGCGAAGCCATGAGCGCCGTTTCGCGAACGGTAAAATTTTATAATCTGACGGCGAAACGTCTTGGAATCGACTGCCCCTGAGGCAGCCAGCATTGCCGATTCTTACCCATGCGACCTACGAAGTTTCCGACTTGTGATGACTCCTAATTGCAAGAAACTTCAACGGCACGCAACGCGGAGCACGCACCGAACCCTAGGACGTCCGCGCATCGCCGACACGTAGGTGATCGTAAAATACTTGAGCGATTTCGTAATAGGCGAAAGTACACCATGATCTATGTACGAATAATATCGATATTTCTTTAAATACCCGGCACGTATTTGCTAATAAGCAGCCGGGAAGTACGGAATTACGATCGCTCCGAATACAATGGCGCGCAAGTAGCGGATTTATTACGTTGCACCGACTATACTCGCAAATCAGGCGCATAACAAACCTGACGGTTGTAATTCCCGTCCCTAATTCCGTAACTTGTACACGACCGAAATAGCTCGCAAAGTATCAGATCCGTTGTTGCAACACGTACGTCATACAATAGGCTGATTAGAGAAATCGATTTTTCGCCAATCAATTGGACGTGAAGCTACTAGCAACCACGTATTTGGAACTCACAATCAGCTAGCGAGCGTTAAATTGGATTTGTTACGGTGGGCGTGTCAGCGCCGCGGTTTTGCATAATGAGAAACGAGACGGGACAGAGACGCATAAGACGAGAGAACCGCGATTTCTAAAGCACGCCCTGAGCGCAATCGGCACGTAATGACGTACGATAAATACGTACCACTATTCCGATATTTTCTCGAACCGGAGAGTTTCGCGTTAGCACGTTCCTCGAATTGTAGGCTAGTGTGCCACGCTCGATCTACTGGATTTCATTATGAATAAATCGCGATAGAGACTTCCGCAATAAGAAGCCGCGCGATTCAATTACCGCTCCGTCGGAGCAGTGGAGAGGGGGGAGGAGGGTGCTGTTTCTATAATAACCCTATGCACGTCCACGTCGGCTATCTCTCCTTTTTCTTGATATCTCATACGAGTTATCGGTTGCTGTCGATGCGCGACTCCCCCATTATTCTTTTCGTGCACGCAACACCAGCGCAGCGTATAATTTCCGACATCGACTGCCAACGGGAATATACCGCGTGAGTGATCATTACCGCAAATTGCAATAATGTGGCGAAGGAACAACACGGCAGATTTCGGTGATTCCCCGCAAATGCTTGCGGACCGAATGGGAGAGGAAGGCAGGAACGTAGACAAAAATGACGGCGCGAATTTGCATGGGTCATCACGGACCGGAGGAGGTCCCGCGCGCCTTCAATCCCGAATTCTTCCCGATCCGAGCGCGTCGGCAAGCACACGCTCGGCGCTCCTTCACGTGCATTCATTGACTGACGCGCTTACACGTTATACGCGCCTGTTTTCCGCGATCGTGAGGTGCATTTGCACGCGCGTCGCGCGCTTCGTAGGAGCGAACGGAATGGAGGAGGAACAGAAGAGCAGACGATGGCGCAAGGCGCATGCCAAGACGCGCCGCGCTCTCACGTTATGCGCGTAGAAGTTGAATAGAGGCGGGCGCAATTCTCGCGCGTATTAAAGCGTTACGGACCGCGTGCTCCTAAATCACGCCTCTTAAATTGCGGACCGTCCGACGGTATCATCGCGGCGTCGCCGTGTTTCGCCGTGATAAATTTGCTGGAATTCATTTTCCCGCGCGAGCGCACCGCATCTCGGCGATAAAGACTGCCGTTTATGGGGGGAGGGGGGAGGGGAAGGAAGATTGTCACCTCGATGTTCCTACTAATTTCCCGCCGACATGCGAGAGAGCAAAAGTCTCACGCGCGACAATTACCGGCGAAGAGAGCGTGAAACGTGCTCTTTAAGATTAGCGATGCTCTGACGTTCGCATAGTGGCGAAATGTATGTGATGTAATTTAATTTGCAACTACCTCGCGGTTTACAGGGGAAATAATTTTCGTCTATTGTACGTGGAATAACATATGTTAACTTATGGTCCAATTAATTAAGTAATGAAATAATTTTGTCCCAGATATTAGTAAATGGTACAAATACAAAACAGATCACTTCTTATCCTAAACGTGCTCGATTTTTGCACAACAAGGATCGTGCTCTATCAGCCAGTTATCATGTTACTGGTGAGTAGATACGGTGTATCTTGTTACCTAACTCATAATACGTACTTTTATGCTCAGTAAAACCTAATGGCATATACTGTAACCCACAAAGAGTATTATTTGTTGTTTCCGGGTTGATGAATGTGCGCATATACGAAAGTATGTTGCGTTGCACTGAGCGACAATGTTCCGCTTTGTTGACGTTCGTTATTGTATGATTTGGATGAGAAAAAAAAACGCAAAGAGCCAAAAACAAACGAAGAAGGCAAGAAAGAATAGATATACGAGTACAAGAGAATTCGCAACGTGGAGCGAAAGCGTTACGTCACGTAATTAATGCACGTCGAGTTCGTTGACTGGGTATCCGAATACGTAATTCCGGAGAACGATCTGCCGTACGAAGAAGGCTCTTAGAAATCGAGTTGGGTTTTATCCAACGTGACTCACCGATGCAAATTCATCACGTGATCGAAATGTATTCGTGATGACGCGTTACCATGCAATTTCGATGCGGATCATTAATTAATAAAAGGTGCGAAGATATCGCTTCTTATTTAAAATGTTGGAATGTATATACATTTTGTTTTTCTCAAAACAATTTTTAAACTCTTACACTAATCAATATTATCAATATTGATTGGCGTTAATAATGAAGTGTTAATAAATATAGTCTTGTTTTTCTATTAAGATGTTTGAAAAATCTAGTTTTTTACACTTTGAATATGGTACCTAAGACTTTAGGTACCATATTCAAAGTGTAAAAAATTTTTATAAGAAATTGGCACACATACAACATTCGCATATGTACACAAAGGAAGAAATGTCGCGAGATGTCAGTAACGGAAGCTGGCCGCCCAAGAGACAATGAAGGTCAGCGAAACCCGCGTAGGTCGCGTTTCTGATGTCTAAAAGGTAAAAGAGAAAGAAATTGACGAAGAGTGCAGAAGAATCTCAATCGATTGTAGAATGTGGAAGAGACGTACGACGCTGCGCGTGGTTTATCATTCGTCTGGTTCACCGATTCGTCTGGTTTTCTCGAGGAGGCTCAAAGCGGTAAATTCAATACTGGCGATACTGGTGATTTGTGCACACGCAAACGAGTCGCAAACGCGAGGCCAACGAATGGAAGGTAGAAGGATATATAAAAGAAGGTAGACGAGAGAGCAAGGGGACAAAGTAGAGAAGGTAGAGACTGCGTGGAAGGTGTGAACCATGGTGGGACGACACAAGCGACCGGCATCTCGTGGGTCGCTCATGGTTCGGAGTCGGCTCGATTCTTTTCTCAGCTCAGGTCAGAATTATGATCCAGCTCTTACGGAGCGCAGACGCCCGCGTTGGCGGTGGATTCGCATCTTTCACGTACGTACGCGTGGGCCCCTCGTCACA